TACGCAGACACAATTGCGCTTTTCTTTTTAAGAATAACCCGGGCTTCCTCAAACGCAGCTTCGGTCTCAGAAATCACAGCTTCATAGTAGGTCATCATAAAGGAGTCTGTCTCCCATGTGTTAACGAACTTATCTTGACCAGGAGCTGCCTGCTCAACTTCAATTTGACCTAGAACTTGGCGGGTTTTGCTGAGCACATTCCGATTCATGTGCCATCTACATATCATAGTAGGCACCGCTGGAAACACACGACGTAAAGCATTCAAAGAAGCGAGATCACGATCCGATAAAATCACTCGAGGTTGAACAGCACCGGCTTCTTCCATATATTCCACAAGGGTGTTGAACGCCCAAACGAAGTCATCTTCGGTTTGTCCTGGTAGCCAACACTGGGCCACCGGAAGTACAGTGTTAAAACCCGTCATTGCGATGATATTTAAGAGGGGAATGTTGTATCTCGTTGTCTTGTAGGTGCAATCAACGACGAGGACGTCGGAGTGTTGTCTGTAAAACTCTGTAGTCGACGGATGAGACCAAAAGAGGTATCGGAGTTGATTTGTTTCGGCGTCAACAGCATGCCTGAAGAAAAAACCAAGCTCTCTCATGTCTGAAAAGAGAGCTTCTATTGGGGTTTGCGTGGCGAGTGCTTCTTGACGAGCTGCATGCCTAGCGTTAGCTAGGTCCTTGGGAATGACCATAGCATCCGCATCAATGGACAGGATACTAGCATACACATTTGCGACCTGAACTCCTGCTGCGGTCTGAGCTCTAACAAAAGCCTGCATTGTTGGTACAGGAGCTTGCGTTATTTCCGATACGGCTCGCTGGCGGTGAGATGCGTGTACGCGCACATCGTTTGAAGCTGGGTGGTTATGGCGCGAGCTGCCGTGCTTTAAATGAACGATTGCCCACTCTCCTTCAGGAACGTCTTTCTTTACTGCCACGAGCTTGATCTTCATGGGGCACCCAATACGTTTGGAGCCGCGCATTGTTCGAATTCGATCACTATCCCTTAAGTTGCCCGTGTTCTTGGGCTTACCGGCGCGGTCGCACTCGAAATACCGAGCATAGATGACTTTAGCTCTATCACGAAGGTATGAGGCGGTGCGTTTGGAGACATTAAAGGAGTTGGCCTTCGTCCATGCGTGAAGCGCACCTTCAGCAGCCTGATAGCTTGGGTATACACACTCCGGAGGAGGAGGAATAGTGAAGAATGCCTGCTGTGCCCTGGATTGGTTTTGCATTGGTGTGACGGAGATAATTCTACAATGATTGAAAAAGTGATAGCGTACGTTGTCTGCTAGCATACC